CACTCTCCCCTCACGCCTCTCTACTTCAAGTTGAACCTCAGCATCCTTTTGGGTAACTATTACCCCTGCTTCTACCTGTGATAGAGTCCCCCCCTTCTGTATTCGCTTCTTCTTACTCTTTTTACGCTCAGAAGCAGCCTGATTTGCTTGCTCAAGACTATCTATCTAAGCTTCAAGCAACGTGTGTGAGTGTACCTTTAAAGTTAACCCCTTTTTAACCTGCAGCACTATCTTAAGAATAGACTTAGGTAAGGAACTCCTATAGTCCCTTATCCTCTTAAGAATTAGCGTCGTTTGAGCCTCTATTTCCTAGGCGTTGCTTGGTGTTTTGGGCTGCCAAGGGGTACTCCTGGGTAAAGGTAGTGTTAGTGTACGAGGCTTCACTTTAAGCCTTGATAGCACCACCTCTGGGTTATCTAGAACTAAGCTAGTTGCTCTGAAGCTTGATAGGATATTGTCCTTTAAGAAGGCCTAGTTAAATACTAGGGTAAGTGCAGCTAGGAAGGCTTTCTTGTTAATGTGGTTGATATGGCAGTTTGCTAAGACTTAGATCTCCTCCTTGTACGCACGCTTTAGGGGGGCAAAGCAACCCACATCAAGCAGCTGAAGGATGTGTGAGGTGTGAGGGGGCATACAGAGGGTGATGATATTGTTCTCCTCACAAAGATCCTAGAAGGCGAGTGACTTGTGGCTCTCGTGGCCATCAAGAATTAGTAGTCTATAACCACCTACTTTCTTAACCTCTGTGTGCTTGATAAAGTGCTGTAGCTAGGCAAGCCCAAGCTCATTTGTTGTCTATCTATTATTACTAACCCCTATTCTCTAATCCTAAGGGTTATAATACTAGGCCTGGTTGTGGTTCTTAGCTTTAAAGATGATAAAGGGTGGGATAACCCACCCTGTGGCGTTGATGGCGGCAATCAACGTCACCCACTCCCTGTCACCAGGCTGAACCCCAAGTGGCTTAAGGCGCCTCTTAGAGGCTGTGACTACCTTCACAGACCCCCCAACGCCTATCTAGAAGCTAGTCTTATTAAAGTTGTACGTGTCTTAATCTAGGATACTATACTTAGCTTTGACGTTGCGTACAAGGTTGAACTAGGGGCTGATAATAGCTAGATTACTGCAGAGGACTCGCTGGTGATCACGGAGTTGAGTCACCTGAGATTTGACCTCAGGCCGGCGTTGGATCAGCCTATAGGCCTAGTTCTCCCCAACCTGGCCACCACTACGCTTAGCTAGTAGCTGGTCAGCCATTCCACGGACGTGGCTAAGCGTAGGGGCAAAGCCTCTAGCGTCAAGCTTCCTTATATATTGTATAACTGCCTCCTCTTCATGCTTCTGAAGCTTAGATGAGTTGGGGTGGGTATCGCGTTGTGGGGTTCTTCTGGCGCCTTGATGGCTAAGTGTACTTTGAGGAACCTTGTAGATAGCAGCAGCGCGTTGCTGGCTTAGTGACGCTTTAGATTTTATTGCTTGGGTAGCAAGTATAACTCTATCTGCACAGGAAAGTAATTCAAGATAAACTAG